AAAAAAAAAAAAAAAAAAAAAAAAATTAACAAGTGTCCCCAATTTAATCCAAAACTGAAAGGTTTTGCCTGTGCATACAATTTAATCCACTTATCCATGCGTCAGGCAGATGTTGATTGTCCAAGAACATGGTGGGAGGTGTGAAATAAAACACCATGTTCTAATTGCCTTAATCCAATCACCGTAATGCCATGCAGTCAGGGACAGATGTTAATGGTTTTAATGAGTAGGTTGAAGTAGTGAATTGTCAAATCACTGGGGTAGAGCTGTTGAAACGGGATTATTTGTGGTAACAGATGGTGTTGAAGGCCCCCCTCCACTGTCTGGGCATAGTTGTTTCAGTTTGTCATTGGTGGCCTCTTTCACACTTCTCGTGAACCAGTTGTTAGAAAGAGTCTTCAGTGTAACGAAGAGAGGGAAAATATAGTCTGGTTTTACCGACAGCCTGGTGTAAGTAGTCAGCTATACAAACATAAATCGTCTAAAATTACATTGTTTTGTTAAACAATAAAAACACATCCACATTCTATAAAATCAAAGTTCATGTCAGGGGAGTGAACCACCGCCTATAAACCAATAATATAAAGCCATGGCAACATAATAATCCCCATATAGAAACTCGGGTCCTCAAGATGCTTCCAGTTGAGTGGAGATTAGTTTGCTGGTCGCTTTTATATATGTTAGTGCCACCCTGGTTTAATATAGGAATGTGAACAGCTTCCTGAGGAGTGAGGTGTGCTCAATAGTCATGCAGCATGGGAGCACATAAAAACCAACAGACGGTGCTGCCATGCAGGGGGGGGGGCGATATCCAAAGCCAACCGCTGCCAGGACTACGCCTCCATCAAGCTGTGTTACGCGAAGAACCGATGATTAACACTATGGTGGACCAGAGTCTAATGCAGGGTGAGCATTTTTGGTGACCCAAAAGGAACATCAGCAGAGTATATAGGTCTGCTGAGGGTAGGGTCTATCATGGTGATCTGGTAAATGTCGCTCCCGAAGAGCATCTCCCTCCATCAGTGTTGCAAAACAAATCCAGTTGAATGTGACCAACTACAACTCGTTTCAAACTGAACAGCATTTGTGCTTGTTTACTAAGGAATGTTTCTATGTATGCTTTGTAAATAGATCTGTACATGGGGCAGCCATGCTTGTGCATCTAACGCTACATTTCCTGTTTGGAAGTGCTGCACGGTGACTGTGCTATATGAATTCTCTGTCTGCTTAACCTATATTCGCAGCAATTCATCAGGGATGGTTAACTACATGAATAGTAGGAAAAAAAAATTGAGCACAATAAGGTACTTGAAATTGCTGTGCCGTCTGCAGCCTGATGTCATTCCCATAGAATGTGAGTTAGAAGCCCTTGGGTTGTGCAGTGCTTTTGGAGCATGCCTCAAATGCAGGTCAGGAAAATCTTATTGACTTGAACATTACACATGGCAGTTCAACGGCTGGGTTTGGCTTGCTTTGCATTGGATGCAGCATGTTCTGTTGCATGCTTTTGAACTGCTAGAGCAGGTCAAATGCAGACTTTGCTATTCAAATGCAAGCAGCGCTTGATGTGAAATCGCAGCTTTTAAAAGGAGCACCTGCCAACCTGTGCCATTAGAAGCTGCAGCAAGTCAAACAGAGCCCTCCTCACTTCCTGTCTGGAAGACATTCAGCATTTTCAGTGCCTTTTTCCTTCCCAGCCAAACTGCCCCTGGCTTGCCCCTTTCATTCATTGGGTTTCATCATGGGCCTTACCTGGTGTAGACTGCATGCAATTGCAGCCTGCCTATAAATGTTAACGCCTCCAGACTAACAGCCACGTGCTTGCGTTGGCCGTAAATTAGGGTATGCATGGGTAGATTTTAAATCGAATGTTCGTACGAAAATTCCCATCGAAATGTTTGATAATCAGACACTTGGTGGTTGTGGTTCAACATTTCATCTGATTTTTTTATTTTATTTTTATTTAACATTTTGATTTTGGAATGAATGAGTCTCCCGAAGGAAAACAACATTCACTGTTAGAATTTCGTTCAGTTAAAACTTTTCCAACACGTGCCTTTTAAATGTTTTCATCGCCGCAGTACGATTTTGTAAAATATTTAGTTATTGTTTCTATATATAGCAACACAGACATGTAAACATCCTGGTAAGACTCTTCCCATGGAGAAATCCAATCAAAAACAGATGAGAAAGATAGATATTCATAACTTCCTAAAACAGCCACCATAAATGTCCCTTCCCTTTGGTATTTAAAACCACCCCCCCACTAGGGGTCTCAAGTATAAAAAAAAGTGAGGGAAATGACAGCCCAAAATCCCTCCCATTCCCTAAACCACCCAAAAAAAACCCCAAAAACAAACAAGATGAATTGAAAAGTGAAAAAAAAAGAAATTTTCAGTCTCATCTCCTTCCCTCATTCCTCTCCCCTCCTCCAATGGCCATGCAAAGGAGCCTCACATTCCTGGTAAGCGCAGTCAACTGTTTTACTGCATCATTGATCAGAAAGGCGAGTGAGCGTTACAAGATTGTTCTGTTCGAAATTCTAACCTGGTACCCAACTTAACACGATTTAGTAAACAAAACCATGTGATTACCACGCTGGTGCTGACTTTCTGATCACATGGCTTTGTGATTAACATAGGGTTAGTCTTCGAGTTGGCTTTGTTTCTCAGCAAAATCATTGCTTGTCATGTTCACAAAGCTATTTGCCTTTTTTTTCATGCAGATCTCAAACAAGCAGTCTACATGATGACATTGAGGCTAATTTAAGGGAAAAGTCCATTTATCCCTTATCTGAATACATTTTTCCCATGGAGGGTGGAGGCAAAATCAAACTGCCCCTTTTATAAACATACCCCCTACGACGTTCTATAAACGCCAAAGGGTGAAAGGGAAATGTATTTTTAGTAACAGGAGGAGAGTACACGAGTCTTTATATTGTACAATTGCTTTTGTAATGTACATATAATTCTTCGGATGCGGTTTCCCTACTTGTGACGCCATTATTGAAAATACTGGAAGAGTTGATCAATAATTGGTTGTATGTCCAATTTTATTTCCATCTCGCCTTGTTGCACAATTCTTTTCCAGAGCTCTGCAAAGCTTTCCAGCAAGATTAATGCAATGCAGTATTTAGTTTTGGCTTATAGCGATTTTTCTTTGTTGTGTACCTTTCCAGTGGATGGCATGAGCTCATGAATTTTCCACTAAAATAATTGCAGTGGTGTCTAGATTAATGTGGTCTAGGTTTGTGGCATTAAGCTGCAGGACCTTCCCTTCCTCTCACCCCC